TGTCCTCCAGGGGTGAAGGTATCAACCTACTCATCCTGAGGGACGGCGTTGTTCACCAAGTTCGTAGAGAACGAGGGGAGGTGAAGACCTGAGCAAGCCAGATGGAACCGCCGGACACGGCAGAACAGTGGAGGAACGTGGAAGGACTGGACCCCCAGAGGGATCAGCCAGAGAGACAGCAACAGGTGCAGAGAGCAATGTGACTGTAGTACTGTCGCGAAAGAAACAACAGGAAGCACCTGAGTCAAGTGTGAATGTGTGCAAGGCCGCAGCAAACGCAGTACCAGAGAGAGCAGACTCGCCATCACCCGAAGCAGCAGACTCACTAGCACCTAGAGAAACAGCCTCTATACCTGGGCCTAGCGACATACACAGGTAACAGTCACCCTCAGCACTAAAAGTCAATGCATACATGGCAGCAAGGATAGCATCATAATTAAGAGCAAAGATATCCACACCCTGCCTAAGCAGCTCTGCCCAACGGGGGAGCTCAGTCGCGTCTGGAAACTCTATGCGGAAGGCGTCGTCAAGGCGAGAGGAGCAGCGGTGCTGGGTGTGGAGCTTTTCGCATGTCTGACAAGTGCGGTCAATTGTGCGAATGACATACGGGCAGCGACCGCTACCCCCAGCCGCCCCACGCTGCGCAAACCACTCATGTAGCTCCTGAGGTGAAAGACGCTGCTGCTGCTGCCGCTGACCAGCACCAAGGCCTCCCCTCTGGCTGGTACCACCCCGGCCGCCACCACCGTCGCCTCCTCCACTCCCACTGCCGCCACCACCACCGCCGCCACCAAACCCACCACCGCCACCACCGCTGCCACCTACGCCTCCACCCCCACCACCACGTCCTCCACCACCGCCGCCCCCTCCACCGCCTCCACTGCTCCCACCACTGCCTCCACCTCTGCCACCCGCACCGCCCCTGCCTCCCCTGCCCCTGCCACCGCGGCGCCTCCCACTAGGGGCAGACGCGGCTCCTACCTCCTCAGCACGAAAGTAGTCAACAGCTCTAGTAGAGGCGACGGAGGGGACCAGGGGGGAGGGCTTCCCTCAAAGAAGGGAGTGCGAGGAGTGCCACGAGTCTCAACTGCTAGGAGGTGCTTCTCGAGCAGGTCGACAGTGGGGTCAAGGGCGAGAAGGAGGTCCCTGACAGCGCTAAGAGAGTCAGGGAGGCGGGTGACTATGAAGTAGAGAGTGATGTACATGGGAGGAGGGTTCTTTGTGAGAAACTAGGCGGAAAGCGCAGCGCGGTAGCAAGTGTCACTAATGCGAAGGTAAGTGACAAAGGCCGGCTACTGTGGCAAAGGCGGACAGCTCGGGGAACAGGTAGGGCAGGAGAAGATGGCCTAGAGCAACATTGGCCGGGGAGGAGTAACGAGCGACTACAGCATCGTACAGTGCTTTCGCAGTCTTGTGCTGTCCGAAGTGAGCGCGTTCGGCTAACGGCAAGTGGTTGCGAACAGCTAGGCGAGCAGCAGCGTCACGAGTAAGCCACTGTGAGCGAGCTACACTGTCAGCTGTGGCGGCAGGGGCGAGAGAGGCGCTAGACGTGAGGTCTAACAGTGAAAAACCGTCCTTGGAATCTCTCAGTAGATACAGCTGTAAGTCGTCGAGCCAAGTGTCGAACTCTATCGGGCGGTCCTCCAGATCAAAGGTAAGAACACTGAGCGTGGCCATGGCGGGCAGAGTAGTCGGGCGCGCTAGCAGCAAAGTGCGCTAGCAGCAGGGCAGCCGGCAGGTAGGGCAAAGCACGGCGGTGGCCAGCAGGGCGGCTCGCAGGCAGAGCAGGGCAGAGCGGCAGTCAGCAGGGCTCTGTGGCGCGGCTGTTAGTGGCGCTCAGGCAGGGCAGGGCGGCGCGGCCAGCAGGGCAGCGCGCGGGCAGGGCAGGGCAGGGCGGATGCCAGCAGGGCGGTGTACAGGCAGGGGCACGTGACGTGCAGTGCAACAGTGCGGGGCAAGGCAGGGCAGCCGCGTGTGCAGAGCAGCAGCGCGGAGCAGGGCAGGTGCACGGGGCAGAGCTTACACGTGCAAGCACGGCAGGGCAGCCGCGCTTGCTGGCACTACACTGTGCAGGGCAATGACAGTAGTGCAGCAGCAGCAGTAGCGTAGGTAGCAGCAGTAGCGCAGCCACAGCAGTACAGACGGCAGTATGGCAGCAGTGCAGGTGCGAGGCGGCAGGGCAGGTGCGCACGGGCCTGGCACGGGCTCTATGGGCTGCGTGCGGGCCTGGCGTGGGCTGTACGGGCTGCGTGCGGCCGGCGCGCAGGCTGTACGGGCTGTACGAGAGGGGCGCGCGGGCTGTACGAACTGCGCGCGGTAGGGCAGGGCATACGGTAAGGCACGGGGAAGGGCAGGGTAGGGCGTACGGGCCACGCGCTAGGGAGGAAATGGGGCGCGCGACGGACAACGAATAGGGCGTGTGTGGGGCAGCGTACGGGGCGCGTGTTAGGCAGCGATTGGGACGCGTGCGGGGCAACGTACGTGGCGCACGAAGAGCAGTAACCGAGGCGCGCGCGGGGTAGGTATCTACTCGGTTCGGGCAGAAAATACGGCGCGCGCTAGGGGCGATCGACGGGCAGCGAGAAGGTACGCACTAGAGGCGCGCTACGGGCAGCGCAAGGGGCAAGTTCTTAGAAAAAAAAAACAGTCCTAACGGACCTACATGCTCTATACCATGTTAGAATACTAAGGAGAATAGTTGGTGATTATGTCAAGGGGGAGGGGTACAAGAACAACATCGAGAGATTTTGTACCCCCTAGTGCTAACACCCATATAGCCTAAAGCACATAAGCATATATGCTTTGACATGTCCTCCGTCCGTCGGAGGTGAGCCTGCCCTTGGCAGTGGCGTCCTTGAGGGGAGGCAGTTTGAGCTTGAGTTTCTTGCGGCCGCTGTACCTCGTTTCGCATCCATGCTACTTTGCCCTGAGGGAGACCCGGATGCACTGGACATCCCAACCCTGGGCTCTTACGCTGAGGCGATCGCGAGTGAGTACTCCTCTGAGTGGCAGACAGCCATGGGTGCAGAGACGGCATCCTGGAAGTCCACAGGCACCTACGTCGACGAGGTTCCTCCTCCTGGGGCGAACATAGTCGATGGCATGTGGATATTTAGAGTGAAGCGGCTGCCGGGTTCTCCGTATTCCTTCAAGGCGCGTTACGTTGCTCGAGGCTTCAGTCAGCGACAGGGGATCGACTACTTCCATACCTTCTCCCCCACCCCGAAGATGACTACTCTTCGGGTGTTGCTACACGTTGCAGCACAACGTGACTACGAGCTGCACTCCCTCGACTTCTCCACAACTTTCTTGCAGGGCAGCCTGCACGAGGAGATCTGGCTGCGCCGCCCACCTGGCTTCACTGGGTCATTCCTGTGGGTACCCAGTGGAGCCTCCAGCGGCCAGTCTACGGTCTCCGCCAGGCGCAACGCAAGTGGCACGACACACTGAGGATTACACTTGCGACTCTTGGGTTTGCTCCTTCCTCTGCTGACCTGTCGCTGTTTCTATGCACCGACACTACCCTGCTGCCGGTCTATGTTCTTATGTACATTGACGACGTGGTTTTTGCTATTGGTGAGACTGACGCGCTGGCCCTAGTGAAGGCGGAGTTGCAGGAGAGACACCTGCACTGACCTAGGTGAGCTGCGTAGCTATCTTGGCTTGCAGATCACCCGGGAAAGAGCACGGTGCACCATCACCCTGACTCAGTCATACATGGTGCACCAGGTCCTTCGGCGCTACGGCTTCCAGCACTCCTCGCCATAGCCCACTCCTCTGTCTACCGACCACTAGCTCTCAGCTCCACCTTCGAACGAGTCCGTAGAGCCGAGTGGTCCGTACCCAGGGCTTGTGGGTTGCCTCATGTACCTAGTGACATGCACACGACGTGACCTCGCGTACCCTCTCAGTCTCCTGGCTCGCTACGTGGCTCCCGGAAGACACCGAAAGGTGCACTGGGATGTTGCGAAGTGGGTATTGTGTTAATTGTGTGGTACATCGGGCATGGGCCTCGTGCTTGGAAGATGGGGTTCAGTGGTACTCACGAGACACTCCGACGCTTCTTGGGCCAACGACCAGGTGACTTGGAGTTTGTTACAGGGTTACACCTTCAGTCTTGCTCTGGTTCTGTTTCGTAAAGGTCCACTCGTTCTTCTTCTGTGCTAGGTTCCAGATGTGAGGCCGAGATCGCTGGGGCCATGGCTGCACAGGAGCTACGCTTGCTGACCTACTTGCTGATCGACTTGGGGGAGCGGCCCCGTTCTCCTCCGGTTCTGTACGTTGACAACAAGGCCATGCTTGCCTTATGTCGGGAGCAGAGACTGGAGCACAGAACGAAGCACATTGCTCTTCGCTACTTTTTTGCTCGAGAGTTGCAGCAGCGTGGTCAGGTTCGCCTTTCCTACGTGGCCTCTCCGTCCAACACTGCTGATGTCTTCACCAAGGCCCTCGGGTCTGGTGATGTTCAGCGTTTTATCGCTGCTCTTGGGCTTCTGCCCGTTCTACCTTACCTGCTTGTCTCTTGATCTTGCACTTGTTGTGCACTTTTATCAGTATTATACCTGCATGATTCGCTTTGCTAGGTTGTGACCAGTGTACTGTACCTCTGCATGTGAACTGGCCTTGTGGCCGCTTGCTTGTGCTCGGATTGTGTGGTGTGTCCTTGATATCCACCCCGAGCTTTGTTTTGCTTTGCTCTGTTGTCTTGCTTGACTGGTCTTGTCCCCAACTCTTGCTAATCCAATCATTGCTGCACAGTTATTTTGACACCCTTCCCCCTCCCCCCTCCCTCCCCCACCCCTCCCCCCAGTCACTGGTTTCATCAGATTCGTTTCGCATCAGTCGGAACCATTCTGAAATATCAGCCCTACGTGAACCATTGCTGGAAAAAAGGGTTCTACAACAAACAACTTTGAGAAAAAAACTGGCAAAGGTTCCCCTCCCCACCTTACAGCACAACTAATGAAGAAAAGTTTAGTAGAAATAGTGAAATAAATACTATGGTTAATCATTTAAAATACCACAATAAAGCCTTCCGCCCACATAAGCCCCCCATAGGTGCATTTATTTGGCGGGCTGTATATACTGATGGTTTTATGGTATACTTTTTCACCCAGCTCTGACTGGGATGCAATTTTTTTGGGGGGAGCACTGATCAATCAGAGTGGCCTGAATCCAATCCGAGGGACATGCAGTGGCTGTGGCAGTACTTTCGGCTTTTGGGCAAGTACAGCAGTGGGGTGCAGCAGTGGGGTGCAGCAGTCACAGCTCCTAGTCACTCGGCCCAGCTGTCAGGGAAAACCGCTGCCGCACTGGCACACTTGCCTCGCCTGCACACACTCATCCCCGCACCTGCAACCTCGTCGCTGCTGCTCTGGCCCCTCAGCCTCTCCGTGCCGCATTCACTCCATCGGCACCTCTCCGTGCCGCATTCACTCCATCGGCACCTCTCCGTGCCGCATTCACTCCATCGGCACCTCTCCGTGCCGCATTCACTCCATCGGCACCTCTCCGTGCCGCATTCACTCCATCGGCACCTCTCCGTGCCGCATTCACTCCATCGGCACCTCTCCGTGCCGCATTCACTCCATTGGCACCTCTCCGTGCCGCATTCACTCCATCGGCACCTCTCCGTGCCGCATTCACTCCATCGGCACCTCTCCGTGCCGCATTCACTCCATCGGCACCTCTCCGTGCCGCATTCACTCCATCGGCACCTCTCCGTGCCGCATTCACTCCATCGGCACCTCTCCGTGCCGCATTCACTCCATCGGCACCTCTCCGTGCCGCATTCACTCCATCGGCACCTCTCCGTGCCGCATTCACTCCATCGGCACCTCTCCGTGCCGCATTCACTCCATCGGCACCTCTCCGTGCCGCATTCACTCCATCGGCACCTCTCCGTGCCGCATTCACTCCATCGGCACCTCTCCGTGCCGCATTCACTCCATCGGCACCTCTCCGTGCCGTGCCCCCTTCCCGCCCTCCAGCCCCCCCTGCTGCACGCCCACCGCGCCCGGTGCAGCCGCCCCCAGCAGCGCATGCAGGGGGGAGGTGGGCGGCGGGCAGTAGGGCGTGGGGGGCAGGGGGGCGGGGTCGAAGACTGGCAGCAAGTGGATGGCGTGGGCAGAGGTGTTGGCCTGGGGAGGGTGCAGGCGAGGAGGGGCAGCAGGAGCAGCGGGAGGTGGGAGGGGCGGAATGGGGGGATGGGCTTGCAGGTGAGAGAACAGACAATGCATGTGATGCCTGATCATGTACAGCAGAACGTGGGGCAGCCTAACGTCAGGGGCGGCCTGAGCATGTGGGGCGGCACTCACCTCGGCATGCACCACTCACCTCGGCATGCAGCACTCACCTCGGCATGCAGCACTCACCTCGGCATGCAGCATGTCGAGCAGCACGGGAGGGATGGGGTCGGGGTGGGACGGCTGCTCCACACACATGCTCACGACGCGCTGCAGCAGCGGCGCCGGGATGGTGGCGTACACCTGCATGGGCGGGCATGGCGACATGCATGCCATGGGTGAGCAAAACACACGACACACTGACGTGCACATGCTGTGGATGCACAAGCATGAGGCACAGCGTCTCACGTGAACAATGCAGTAACACTGTCACCCACACCACTGCTCACCCCTCTCTCCCCCCTCATTCCTCTCATCCCTCGCACCCCTCTCGTCCCACTCTTCGATCACACTGCTCTCCCCGCCAATGTCGTCCCCCCCTGCCCCCGCACCTCGCGGCGCACAGGGCGGTCGCAGAGGGCCTTCTTGGGCAGCAGCAGCACGTGGGCCAGCGCGCGCAGCAGTGGGAAGCACTCCACCCGCCCGCCTATCAGCTGCTGCTCCACGCCTCTCTCCTCCCCTCCTTTCCCCTCGCGCCCTTCCAGCAGCAGCAGCGCCGCGGGGTCGTGCCCTCTCTGACCCGTGCCCGCTTCACACCCCCCACTGCTCCGCGCCGCTGCACCTGCCATGGCATCACCACCTATCACCGCTCTCCACCCCTCTCCCTGCCCCACCAGTCCATTTCCATGTCCTTGCTTTCCTGCCCCGCCCTGCCCCTCTGCGCCCTCTGGCCAATCAAAGAGCTCCAGCTGGCCCGCCCAGAAGCGAGCGGAGGAGAGCAAGGTGAGCGGGATGGTGGGCGGGGGGACGATGGGCGACGGGGGCGAAGCGCGGGCGGCCCCGGGATGTGTGGCAGCAGCAGCGGCGGCGGCGTGGCAGTGTGAGGCGACATGCGCGTCCATGTCTGCGAGGAAGTCAGTCCACTCCGACACCTGGTGCCGTGCCGTGGGGTGCCATGGGGGGCGGGGAGAGAGAGTGGGCACAGGGGCATGGTGGAAAGGCGGGACCACATTGAAGCTATGTAAGGATACAATGGCATGTGTGCACGCCATCCCCTTGTGTTTCAGTTATCCCCTCTGCAGCGCGTTTCAGCAACCCCCCTAACAGTCCCCCTTACAGTGTGTTTCAGCAGCCCCCCTTGGGCGGCCCAGAAGCGGCCATTGGCGGGGAAGGGCAGGGCGGCAGGGTCGGTGAGAGGGTCGGCGGCAGGGTCGGTGGAGAGCACGTCGTTGCCGGAGCGCAGCAGCGCGTTGAAGAGTGCCGCGTCCAGCCGCTGCTGGCACTGCTGCAGCACCTGGTGTGGGGGGAGGGCGAAGGGGATGGTGAAGAGGGGTGGTGAAAGGGAGAGAGAGAGAGAGAGGGTGTGTGAGGCGGAGCAGGGAAAGGCATGGGAAGAGGGGGACGAAGGTGGAAAGGCATGGGAAGAGGGGGACGAAGGTGGAAAGGCATGGGAAGAGGGGGACGAAGGTGGAAAGGCATGGGAAGAGGGGGACGAAGGTGGAAAGGGATGGGAAGAGGGGGACGAAGGTGGAAAGGCATGGGAAGAGGGGGACGAAGGTGGAAAGGCATGGGAAGAGGGGGACGAAGGTGGAAAGGCATGGGAAGAGGGGGACGAAGGTGGAAAGGCATGGGAAGAGGGGGACGAAGGTGGAAAGGCATGGGAAGAGGGGGACGAAGGTGGAAAGGCATGGGAAGAGGGGGACGAAGGTGGAAAGGCATGGGAAGAGGGGGACGAAGGTGGAAAGGCATGGGAAGAGGGGGACGAAGGTGGAAAGGCATGGGAAGAGGGGGACGAAGGTGGAAAGGCATGGGAAGAGGGGGACGAAGGTGGAAAGGCATGGGAAGAGGGGGACGAAGGTGGAAAGGCATGGGAAGAGGGGGACGAAGGTGGAAAGGCATGGGAAGAGGGGGACGAAGGTGGAAAGGCATGGGAAGAGGGGGACGAAGGTGGAAAGGCATGGGAAGAGGGGGACGAAGGTGGAAAGGCATGGGAAGAGGGGGACGAAGGTGGAAAGGCATGGGAAGAGGGGGACGAAGGTGGAAAGGCATGGGAAGAGGGGGACGAAGGTGGAAAGGCATGGGAAGAGGGGGACGAAGGTGGAAAGGCATGGGAAGAGGGGGACGAAGGTGGAAAGGCATGGGAAGAGGGGGACGAAGGTGGAAAGGCATGGGAAGAGGGGGACGAAGGTGGAAAGGCATGGGAAGAGGGGGACGAAGGTGGAAAGGCATGGGAAGAGGGGGACGAAGGTGGAAAGGCATGGGAAGAGGGGGACGAAGGTGGAAAGGCATGGGAAGAGGGGGACGAAGGTGGAAAGGCATGGGAAGAGGGGGACGAAGGTGGAAAGGCATGGGAAGAGGGGGACGAAGGTGGAAAGGCATGGGAAGAGGGGGACGAAGGTGGAGCACAAGTGTCGAGCTGCTGAGTGCCGTGACCTCGTCGAGGAGGAAGGGGGGGAAGAACGAAACGAGGGGAAGAAGTTATTGGGGTTATGGGGTGAGGTGAAGAGGTTGAGAAAGGGTAATAAGAAAGCGGTTGAGGACAGAACAAGGGAAGGACGGCTCACTGGCAGTATGCATGCGCTGTGAGGAGGGTCGAATCATGATGGTGAGTCACTCAAAATTGTAGCAACAACAAAAGCAGGGAGGTGCTTGCTGGCATGGAGTAGTGGTTAGAGGCAGCACTGACCTGCTTGAATAGCGGGTAGAGGCAGAACTGACCTGCTTGAATAGCGGGTAGAGGCTCAACTTACCTGCTTGAATAGTGGGTAGAGGCAGCACTGACATACTTGAAAAGAGGGTAAAGGCAGCACTGACCTGCTTGAATAGCGGGTAGAGGCAGAACTGACCTGCTTGAATAGCGGGTAGAGGCTCAACTTACCTGCTTGAATAGTGGGTAGAGGCAGCACTGACATACTTGAAAAGAGGGTAAAGGCAGCACTGACCTGCTTGAATAGCGGGTAGAGGCAGAACTGACCTGCTTGAATAGCGGGTAGAGGCAGAACTGACCTGCTTGAATAGCGGGTAGAGGTAGAACTGACCTGCTTGAATAGCGGGTAGAGGCTCAACTTACCTGCTTGAATAGTGGGTAGAGGCAGCACTGACATACTTGAAAAGAGGGTAAAGGCAGCACTGATTTGCTTGAATAGCGGGTAGAGGCAGAACTGACCTGCTTGAATAGCGGGTAGAGGCTCAACTTACCTGCTTGAATAGTGGGTAGAGGCAGCACTGACATACTTGAAAAGAGGGTAAAGGCAGCACTGACCTGCTTGAATAGCGGGTAGAGGCAGAACTGACCTGCTTGAATAGCGGGTAGAGGCTCAACTTACCTGCTTGAATAGTGGGTAGAGGCAGCACTGACATACTTGAAAAGAGGGTAAAGGCAGCACTGACCTGCTTGAATAGCGGGTAGAGGCAGAACTGACCTGCTTGAATAGCGGGTAGAGGCAGCACTGACCTGCTTGAATAGCGGGTAGAGGCTCAACTTACCTGCTTGAATAGTGGGTAGAGGCAGCACTGACATACTTGAAAAGAGGGTAAAGGCAGCACTGACCTGCTTGAATAGCGGGTAGAGGCAGAACTGACCTGCTTGAATAGCGGGTAGAGGAAGCACTGACCTACTTGAAAAGGGGTAAAGGCTGCACTGACCTGCTTGAAAAGAGGATAAAGACAGCTCTGACCTGCTTAAAAAGAGGGTAAAGGCAGCCGCAGTGGTGCCCCATGGCCCTGTGGGGGCACAGCATGGCAGCCGCCTCGTGCAGCACCGCCACCCACCGCTCTGTACCACTCAGCCCCGCCCACCAGGGCGCCTGCACCTCCTCCGCTGCACAGAGAGGGAGAGCGGGAGCGGGGCCAGAGGGGGGGGAGAGGGAGAGCGGGAGAGAGGGATAGAGGAGAGAGAGGGAAGAGGTTGAGAGGGAAATGTGGGGAAGAGTGGGAGATGACATGGCTAGGGATGTAACCAACAGAAGATGTTGACAAGGACACAGGCATGCTTGGATGGAGCTCTTGAAACCATGCACAGAGCAAGGCATGCAGGGAGACTTGAGACTCACATGGACAGGTGCGCATGGAATCATAGAGAGGTGTGCAGCTTCCGATCCAATGCGAGTCTCAAGATGAGCAAAGACAAGGAGACCACCTTTCAGCAGCGGTGAGACGTTTACAGTGTCAAAACGACAGGAGGCACAACTTGAACGAGAAGAATGAGTTACCTCTGAGTGAGGGCGGCGGGGGCGCAGGGGTGGAGAAGGGCCAGAGGGACGACTGCTGGGCGGCAGAGGTGGAGCAGAGCAAGGCAGAGGACCACGAGGGGGTGAACGGGGGGGTGTGTGATGGCGGGTGGAAGGGAGGCGGCAGCACAGGGGGGCGCTGCTGCATGGCTGGCAGGAAGACACGTGTCCACACCAGGTGCAGACACCTGTCGTGCTGCCATTGCTCCAGCTGCAGCAGCTGCGAATCAAGGTGAGCCAAGCTGCCCCACGGGTCCTCAGGGCGCTCTGGGTGCTCCGGGTGCTCTCCCCGGTCGCCATCACCTGTGCCGGGCCAGCATGCACCACCACCATTCGCAGCACCACCACCATTCGCACCACCACCACCATTCGCACCACCACCACCATTCGCAGCACCACCACCATTCGCACCACCACCACCATTCGCAGCACCACCACCATTCGCACCACCACCACCATTCGCACCACCACCACCATTCGCACCACCACCACCATTCGCAGCACCACCACCATTCGCAGCACCACCACCATTCGCAGCACCACCACCATTCGCACCACCACCACCATTCGCAGCACCACCACCATTCGCAGCACCACCACCATTCGCAGCACCACCACCATTCGCACCACCACCACCATTCGCACCACCACCACCATTCGCACCACCACCACCATTCGCACCACCACCACCATTCGCACCACCACCACCATTCCCAACACCACCACCACCTGCCCCTCCTTCACCTGTGGCCCCCTCACCCGTCCTGCCCTCCTCCCCTTTCCTCCTCTGCTCCTCCGCCACCAGGGGCGCCAGCGCGGAGCGCAGCAGGGCCGTGTTGGACCACCAGAACAGCACCCGCGAGGCGTTGTCGCTCGCCGCCCGGGCTGCCAGCAGCAGCGCGCGCATCACCTCGCGCGCCACGCCTGCCACCTGCTCCCCTTTCAACCCACGCGCCTTGCCCTCCACACATCGCTGCTCGCTTCGCTGTCCCTCTCCCGCCACCATCCCTTCCTTGCTCGCACTCCACCCTGGCCATGCATTCCCCTCCCCCTCCTCCCCTCCCCCGTGCACGCCCTCCTCTCGCCCCTCCGCCATTTCCCCCACTTCGCCCCACAACTCCTCTTTCTCCTCCACCCCCGCCCCCTTCCCCGCCCCCTCACCCGTGCCGCCCCGCCATGCCATGGCCACCACGCGAGCCAGGCGCATGGCGGGGGCGTGCAGGCGCTGCAAGTACGACCCATGCCGGCCCGCCACGCCATGCACCGCCCGCGCCACGCCACTAGCGCTCCGCACCTCCCACGGCATCTTCCCGAACCTCCTCTCCGCAGCCTGCGCCCGCTCCTCAGCCTCGGCAGCCCGAGCCAGAGCGCCAGCCACGGAGGCGCGGTCGTGAGCGAGGCGCTGCTTGGTGGCGGCGAGGAGGTGGGCGGCGGAGGCGAGGTGGCAGCGCAGGGCGTGCGTGTGCGCTGCCACATGCGCCGTGGCCGTGGCGGCCGCGCTGGCCTGCGCTCGCAGGGCGGCCGTGGCGGCGTCCTGCGCTGCGATGCGGTGCTGGCAGGCGCGGTGGCGCGCCTCAAAGGGCGCCAGGCGCTGCTTGTCCGCCTCCACCTGTGGTGGGCGCAGGTGGGGGGCTTCACTCAGACTGTTGGCCTCCCCCAATCAGTGGAACAAAGGTTGGGACTCAATTCCAGACCAGGGGAAACTGCAGTACATCTGGGTGCTTGCTCTCTGAACCTCGTCGATCTTTTCTCTCACAACAATGACTCTTCTAGTCGCTGGCAGCCGCAGCTCTCACCATCTTTATTAAGCAGCTCTGACTCACTGCCATCCTCACCTTTTGCTTCTCCTCCTGCAGCCGCTGCTGCTCCTCCTGTGCCCACTGCTTGAAGCGTGCCACCTCGCCCTGCACGCGCTGCACCTCGCCCCTCTCCTGCTCCACCAGCTGCCTCTCCTTCCTCACCCGCCTCCACTCCATACGCACACGTGCCGCCTCCTCGCCCTCCCCATCGCCATCGATCTCTGAGTCCTCCCTGCCTTCCTCAACTTCTCCTCCGCCCTCCTCCGCACCACCACCTTTTCCTCTCTCCCCGTCCCCTCCACTCGCATAATCACCACTGCCCCCACCTCCCCCTGCCCCGTCCCGCTCCACCACCTCCCGCGCCACAGCCAGCACGCTGAACCTCTTCCGCCGCCCACCACCGCCACCACCCGCGCCTCCCCCTGCTAAGCGCGGCGTGGCAGCGGCGCCCAGCAGGGCGTCATCGACGCCCTCCACCTCGTCGAACCGCCCTGAGCTGTACGGCCCCGGCACGCGCCGCAGCGCCGCCAGCACCTCCCGCGCCGTCAGAGCAGAATGGCTGCCTGCGCCCCCGGCTGCTGCTGCTGCCGCTGCTGCTGGCCCCCCTGCATGCACGCCCCGTGGCAGCAGCCCCCGGTGCCCCACTGACGTCAACGCCCGCACACCCCTCCCTCCTCTCCCCCCCTCTGCAGTGCGCGGCCTCCAAGCGCTCTCAGCAGCACCGGAGGGCATGTGCCAGTCGGGCGGCAGCATGAAGGGGCGGCGCGCGCACGCAAAGCCCAGGGCGCGCGCAGAGGGTGGGGGGGCTGGCGAGCGCGGCGCTGAGAGGGTGCCGGGGGAGGGCGGAGAGACGAGGGGGAAGGGCGCTGTGGGGGGGCGAGGGGTGTGTGGGTCTGAGAGCGAGCGGTGCAGGGGAGGAGGCGAGGGGGGGTACCCGTGTGTGGCAGGGAGAGCAGAGGTGGGTTGTGCGGCAGAGGAGTGAGAGCCTGAGTCAGCAGCGGTTCCAAGCGGTGCAGTCGCCACAGCTGACGGCAGTTGGGCCTCCTCACTGCATGCTCCTCCCTGCCTGCCCACATCGTGACACTCCCCCACCCCGCACGCCCTCATGCCTTCCTGCCCCACTGCACGCAGTGGCGGCGCCAGCAGCACCCTCAGCTTGCTCCTCAGCTCCGCCACCGCTGCTGCCTGCTGTGCGCCACGTGGCGCGCGCTCATTGGACAGAGAGGCTGGGGATCCTGCTGGCATGGCAGGCGACCCTGCGGACGTCACAGGAGAGCCAGCTGACATGGCAGGGGAAGAGGAGGCGAGGGCAGTGGGAGCAAGGTGCAGCAGAGGGCGAGAGAAGGCGGAGGGGAGAGGTGGGTGATGGGCGAGTGCCGTGGGGTGGGGCATGTGCGTGCCGGCAGCCAGAGCGGGTGCTGCGCCTGCTGATGGTGGCGCTGCGGCCACGTGCTCTGCCCTCCCCTGCATGCCCCCCTGCCCTCCCTGCGCCATGTGCTCTGCGTGAGCGGGCAGGCAGGGCGCATCGTCAGACTCACACCTCCTTAGAGCAGCAGCAGCAGCAGCAGCGGTGGTGGCAGGTGTGGTGTGAATGCTGCCCGTGGTGGCAGCTCGTGGAATATCCACCATGGCAGGCTGTGCTGCCACCATGGCAGGCTGTGCTGCCACCACCGCTCCCATCCACTGCTGCACCACCGCTGCCGCCGGCCCAGCCCCAGCTGCCTGCCTCATGCCCTTCTTGCTCTGCCGATTCCTCCCACTCCCACTCTCATCCGCTGCACCAGCAGAAGGGGAAGCAGGAGGGGCAGGAGAGGAGGTGGAGGGGCGGGGCAGAGTGGCCAGGGCGACAGCAGCAACGGGATTTATCGGGCGGGAGGACGAGGAGAGTGGAGAGCGGTGCAGAGCGGTGGTGGATTCTGGAGAGCCTCCTGTGGGGTTGTGGGCGAGCCTGAGTGCAGCAAACTCCCCCCCCGCCAGCGAGTGCGGGCGGCGACTGTTGGCTGCCTTGTGCGCCCTCTGGGGGACAGGAAAGACGAGAGGGAGAGGGAGGGAGGGGGGAGGAGGAAAGCAGTGAGGGGCAGGGAGGGGGAAAGGAGAGGGACAAGGGAGCGGTGGGGTGAAAACATGATGAGAGAGAGGGGGGATGGGATGCATGCAGGGTGCATGCAGGGTGCATGCAGGGTGCATGCAGGGTGCATGCAGGGTGCATGCAGGGTACATGCAGGGTGCATGCAGGGCGCATGCAGGGTGCATGCAGTGTGCATGCAGCGTGCATGCAGCGTGCATGCAGCGTGCATGCAGCGTGCATGTGGCGGGATGATAGAGGAGAGACGGGCATGCAGGGACACAGCATGCAGGCATTGACATGGCATGCATTGACGTGGCATGCCTTGACATGGCATGCCTTGACGTGGCATGCATTGACGTGGCATGCATTGACGTGGCATGCATTGACGTGGCATGCATTGACGTGGCATGCATTGTCGTGGCATGCCTTGACGTGGATATGGTGGAGAGGGATGTCACCACTGTTAGAAAAATACGTTCTAGCATGCTAACACTTGTGACTTCATGGTGTACAGTTGGGTTGGGACTACACCCAACTTTGGGTGTAGTCTTGCATTGTGGGGTGCCAATCCACCCAATTGTGGTGGAGCCCCCAATTGCAACTCCCTTGGACTAAGGTTGCCTCACTTCCTACAAGTGTGGTCAACCCAACCCAAGTGGGCCTGAGGTTGCCTCACTTCCACAAAGTGTGGCAAACCCAACCTATGGTCAACCCAACCTATGGTCAACCCAACCTATGGTCAACCCAACCTATGGTCAACCCAACATATGGTCAACCCAACCTATGGTCAACCCAACCTATGGTCAACCCAACCTATGGTCAACCCAACCTATGGTCAACCCAACCTATGGTCAACCCAACCTATGGTCAACCCAACCTATGGTCAACCCAACCTATGGTCAACCCAACCTATGGTCAACCCAACCTATGGTCAACCCAACCTATGGTCAACCCAACCTATGGTCAACCCAACCTATGGTCAACCCAACCTATGGTCAACCCAACCTATGGTCAACCCAACATATGGTCAACCCAACCTATGGTCAACCCAACCTATGGTCAACCCAACCTATGGTCAACCCAACCTATGGTCAACCCAACCTATGGTCAACCCAACCTATGGTCAACCCAACCTATGGTCAACCCAACCTATGGTCAACCCAACCTATGGTCAACCCAACCTTCTCTTCCAAGCTTGTCTTCTCACCTACGTGTGCTTCTTCCTACTCTAATCAAGACATTGGTTCCAATTCCAACTTTCACAACCACTCCCGCATCACACCGCTCACTCCTTGTGCCAACGCCCGTCTCTCCCTTCCTCTCCCTCAACCCGACCCCCTAATGTCACGATGACCTTCTCCTCTGCCGTCCCCCTTCCCTCTGCCACTCACCAGCAGGTCGCGGTGGGAGGGTGGGTGTGAGGCGGGGGGGGAGGAGGCAGAAGGCGGGGGGTGGTGGGAAGGGGGAGCCGCGGAGGCGGAGGCCGGAGGAGGAGGAGCACAGGTGGAGGCAGGAGGAGGAGCAGAGGTGGAGGGTAAAGGGGCAGTGGCGTTGTGGTAAGGCAGGGAAGCGATGGGGGGGACGGTGGCGGGGGAGACGGCTGAGGGGGGCGAGTTGTTTGGGGGTGGGCCGGCGCCTGGGCTTTGCACGTGGTGGGGTGCCATGGGGGGGTTCGCCTGCAAGCACGGGTGGGGCTGGGTGGGCACGGGGTGGCACACACTGGGGGGCGTGGACGCGAGTGCCAGCGCCTGGGGGAGGGCGTGAGCCGGCGCCACGTTTCTTGCACCGTCCAGGTCGCCGCCTCTCCCCGCCGCGCGGTACAGCTCTGCCAGCGATGTGGCCCTCACCTGCCCGCGCACCACCGCCACCTGCCCCACCTGCTGCCCCCACGGATCATCCTCCCCCGCCCCGTCAGCCCCGCTCTCTGCTTCTGCTGTCGCTGCCGTGCCGCCTGCTGCCTGGGCTGCGGTCGCCTCTCTCCTCTGCTGCAGCTCTGCTTCGACCTGCTTCATGCCCCGCGCCCTCTCCTTGCCACTCCCACCCGCTCTTTCCTTCCCACTCCCACGCCTTGCCTTCCCAGACTCACCAGCACCCACCCCCTCGGCAGCAGCAGCAGCAGCAGGGGTGGCGTGGGACGGGGGCGCGTCAGCCTGAGCTGGGAGGTTAGGGGCTGAGAACGCACTGGTGGCGGACGGTGACGCAAGGGGGGTCGTGGCAAGGGGGGTGGCAGAGGCAGTGGGGGGGAGGGAGGAGGGGGGCGTGGCGAGGGGGGGTTTGGCATGGCGGCTGAAGCGGGTGAGCGCCGTGGCGGGGCGGCCAGGCACGTCCATGCTGCTGCTGCCCGTCCCCCCCCGCCGCCTGCTCGCCCTGCTGCCCCTGCCGCTGCCGGCAGTGCTGCTGTCACTGGTGCTGCCAGCGTCAGTGGCATCGGGGGTGGCGGGCGGGAGTGTGAGTGCGGCTTGCATGGCGGTGAGCTCCTGGCCGCCATACGAGTGCCGCCTGCCCGCTGCCTTGCGCTGCGCCCTCTGGGGGAGAGGAGAAGAGGGTGGATTGGAGAGGAGGGTGGATGGGAGAGGAGGGTGGATGGGAAAGGATGGTGTACAAGAGAGAAGGGTGAACGGGAGAAGAGAGTGCAAACGGAAAAACAAGCAGGATTGCAGAGGCGAAGAGATTGCAGAGGCGAAGAGATAGTAAAACATCAGATGGGAAGGGGGGGGAGGGAGCAAAGGAAGGTGGGCAGGGAATGGGGACATGGAGAGTTAGTAGCAGGGATGGGCGATGGAGGGAGTGGAGAGTGGAAGTGCGATGGCCACTGACCAGAGCTGCCACCGATGAGGCACGCTGGGTGTTGCTGGGTTCGGCTGGTTCACCAGTGATTGCACTAGTGGCGTCAGCGGCAGCATCAGCAGGATCTTCCCGGGCACCTGCTCGTGACGTTTGTGCTGCTGCTTGCTGCTGCTCGTGACGTTTGTGCTGCTGCTGCTCGTGACGTTTGTGCTGCTGCTGCTGGTGACGTTTGTGCTGCTGCTGCTGGTGACGTTTGTGCTGCTGCTGCTGGTGACGTTTGTGCTGCTGCTGCTGGTGACGTTTGTGCTGCTGCTGCTGCAGCGTGTGCTGGTGCTGGTGCTGGTGGTGGTGCTGGTGGTGGTGCTGGTGGTGGTGCTGGTGGTGCAGCGGGGGCGGCATGGAAGGCTGCAAGCTCAGTGCTGCCGTACGACTGCGCGCGGCGCGATGCCTTCCTGCGTGGCTTGGCCCCCGCGGCTGGCTGGAAGGGTGGGAGAGGGGGGGGGAGACGAGAGGCGCGGAGAGGCGTGAATGCGGGGAGGGGGGGGGGGGGGGGGGGGAGGGCCAGAGAGGAGAGGATAGTGTGGACGTGTCAAAGGAAGGAGACGCACACAGAGCAGCAGAGATGACGAGGAGGGGAGAGGAAGTAGAGGGGGAAGGAAGGCAGGGGAAGCAGCGAGGGGATGTCCCGAGGGGAGAGTGTGAGGCCGAGGGGAGGGGCCGTACCTGAGGCCGAGGGGAGGGGGCATGGGTGGCAGCAGCGAGGCGGAAGGCGCGTGTGGCAGACATGGAGGAGGCGGAGGGGGGCGCGGATGCTGCTGGTGACTCCAGCGGCGAATGTGATGATGATGACGTCATGCATGCCGATGTGGATGCTGACGAAGCAGATGCTGACGTGGATGCCGAAGCTGACGTGGATGCCGAAGCTGACGTGGATGCAGAGGTCGCTGACGAGACAGAGGAGGAGCGCGAGGGCACAGGGGAAGCAGAGGCTGATGGAGGGTGGGAGGGAGGTCGTGATGAGGTGGATGAAGACGATGCTGACTTGGCAGACACTGCAAATGTGGAAGGGGGGGCTGACGTGGCAGAGACAGGTCCAGAATCGCCCACTGCCACGTCACGCTCTACAGCGTCCTTTATCCGCACCTCCTCACTCACGTCTCCCCCCGTCTCCCTCCCGCCCCCCACCCCATCGCATGAGCCTGCCCTGCCTCCTCTGCGGCTCTTCCTCTGCTGCTTGCGCTTGCCCACCTCACCACCGCTCTGCACTCCTTCCCCTCTGCCTTCTTCTGCTACTGCCTCCACCCTCCCCGCATCTTCCCCACGCGCCTCTCTCTCTGCTACAGCCTGCTCGTGCTGCCATGGCCCATGCGGCCCCTCGTGCGTGTGGCCCTGTGCATGCGCGCCCCCTGCCGCGGGGGGCAGCGCGGGCAGGGCAGGGAAGTCACCGTCGCCCAGCGACGACCCCGCGCTGCCTGCTGCTGCCACGGCGGGCGACGCGCACCCTGATGCCGGAGGGGAGGAGGCAAGATGTGAGGGGGCAGCGGGGCAGTGCAGTGCGGTGGAGGGCAGCAGCGGTGAGGAGGCGTTGCGGCGATGACCCCTGGGGGCCGCCAGGCTGGGGGGGGAAAGAGGGGGAGGGGGGTGGGGCAGCATGGACGTATGGGGGGCACAAGAGCAGCGAAAGGGGAGTGAGCAGCAGATGGAGAGGGGGCATGGAGTGGAGCGGCACGGATGGTGGCTTGCCCATGGTGGCTTGCCCATGCTGGCTTGCCCATGCTGGCTTGCCCATGCTGGCTTGCCCATGCTGGCTTGCCCATGCTGGCTTGCCCATGCTGGCTTGCCCATGCTGGCTTGCCCATGCTGGCTTGCCCATGCTGGCTTGCCCATGCTGGCTTGCCCATGCTGGCTTGCCCATGCTGGCAGCCTTTGCACCCAAGGCTGACCCACACATGCCTCCCACCCCACGCATGGCGCTGACTCACAACGCATGCAGCACCAAGCAGCAGCTCTGGCAGCACACGAGCCACACCTGCCCGCACTCTGCCTGCCCGCACTCTCCCTGCCCGCACTCTGCACTCACCCCTCTCCCTCACCAACACTGCCTCGCCCCCACTCTCACCCCTGCACTTCCCCTTTCCTCACCTCACCACTCTATATTATCCCAACCCTCCCCCCATCGCATTCACTCCCCCTCACCCAACCCACCTGCTTCTCCAATGCTATCATCCACACCCCATCCCACGCCCACCCTCTCGCTTCAACACCCATCACCCTAATTAAACCACTCCCTCCTCTTGCTTAGAGCCCATGCCCTGCGCCCATGCCCTGCGCCCATGCCCTGCGCCCATGCCCTGCGCCCATGCCCTGCGCCCATGCCCTGCGCCCCTGCCCTGCCCCTGCCCATGCCATGCCAGGCGTACATGAGGGCCTCCTCAGCGGCGGCCTCGCGGCTGAGCTTCTTCCCAACGCACTCCACGCTCACCACCAGCACCGCCCCCGCCGGCCTCTCAGCAGCCGCCACGTCAGCCAGCATGGCGGGCCCGGGCGCCACCTTGAGGCGGCGCTCCACCGCCCCGTCGCAGTCCGCCAGCTCAGCCAGGTCCAGCTGCGCCCGGCCCAGAGGCTCGGGCCGAGCCTGGAAGGCAGGCTCGGATGGTGCATCGGGTGGGTGGCTCGGGTGGGCGGCGGCGGCGGGCAGCGCGTGGTGGAGCGTGAAGGTGGCTGCCTTGCGCAGGTAGGGCGCCGTGGGGGCGCCCCTCTCCCTGTACAGCGTCACTGGGATCTGCCCGCAGGCGAGGGGGACAGGGCGGGCGGGAAATGGGGGGAATAAGGGGGGGAAAGGGGGGGAAAGGGAGGCAAAGGGGGAAAAGGGGGAAAAAAGGGGGAACGGGAGGGGGAAAGGGGGAAAAGGGAGGGAAAGTGGGGGAAAAAGGGGAAAGGGGAGGAAAGAGGGAAAAGCAGGGAAAGAGGGGCGAAAAGGGGGAAAGAGTGGGGAACGGGAAGAATGGAGGGAAATGAGGGGGGTAAGGGGTGGTTGAGAGGGCGGAGAAGAAGGATGGGAAGAGGTTGGTGTTAGAGAGGAGGGGAAGACGTTGGGAAAAGGGGAAGGGAGTGGGGGAGGGAGAAGGAGAGGATGCGAATGCAAGGAGAAGCTGGTGGGAGGTGGGGGAGATGGGAGGTGCATGCAGCGTGGGCGTGGGGTGGAGAGGGGTTTGTTGCTGCGTGGGGGACGCAGGTGTGACTGCCCGGTGCCACTCGCCCCGCGGCCCCCATTGTCTCTCCCACCGCCTCAACCACGCCCCGCCATCCCACCACAGCACCACCCCAGGAACCCAGATCCCCCCACCCCCAATCCGTCCCCCCCTCCCCCCTCCCCCCTCCCCCCTCCCCCCTCCCCCCTCCCCCCTCCCCCCCACAGCCGGGTGCACTCACAGCGTACCCGGAAGGTGTGGCTGAGCGGCACGTGGGGGCCGTCGGGGGGCCACACAGGCGCCGAGAGGCCCGCGCGGCTGTCCCCGCGCTGCCAGCGGATGATGAGCGGCGGGGAGGCGCGCAGCCACCCGAGCAGCTGCCGCCATGGTGGGCGGTTGGCGGGGTAGGGGGCACGAGGGGATGAGGGGAAGAGGGAGAGAGAGGGGGCGAAGAGGGAGAGAGAGGGGGCGAAGAGGGAGAGAGAGGGGGCGAAGAGGGAGAGAGAGGGGGCGAAGAGGGAGAGAGAGGGGCTGGAGATCGTTCAGAGGCGCGGCGTGCGGGGACGAGGGGAGACACGCAGATGTGGTGGGGAGCGGAAGACGCATGGAACGACGACGGAAGCGGAACGGGGGGCTCCGGATGGGGGAAGCGGGACGTGGGAAGTGAGGAAGGGGAAGCGGGAAGCGGGAAGGGGGAAGGGAGAAGGGGGACGTGGGGCGGGCGGGGAAGTGGGACCAGCGGAGGCAGACGGGGGGCGGAGCTGACCTCGACGAGGTGAATTTTAAATTCGAATCGAACGGCCACCAGATTCGCCTGCTCAATCTTGCCCGACCCCGATGACGTCAGCGTCTGCCTGCCAGCCGTCGCCATCTTTGCGGCAGGCCGTCACACTAACGGCTTAGCAGCCGGTCCGCTGGCAGCTCAGGCAAAACGTGAGGAGGGCGCGGCGAAGAGGAGGCTCAGCGGCCCAACGGGGCCCGTCGGCGGTGTGCGCGATTGGGATTGCGGGGAGGCATGGGGATGAATGAGAGGCCACGGGCTTGATCGTCACTGCACTGGTGATGGCCACAGGCGCGAGCATGGCGCGCGCCGTTGATGCGCGGCGGACGGGCGTCGCTGCACAGAGCGGGCTGGCCGCACCCGCGTGCTCCGCTAGCGATGGTCGTCCCGCGCGGTGCTGCGCACACGACGACGACGACAGCGAGCAACGTGTGGGGCGCTACGAGCAGGTGGCGGTAATGTGGGTGGACAGGTGATACGGAGGCGATAGTTGATGCCGCATCGTTCGGAGTTGTGGGGATAGGGTAGCGAGCGAGTAGGAAGGTAGTAGCAACGTGCAGCTTCAAAGGTGGCGAGGCCAATAAGCAGATGATGGACGCGGTGCCAGGGAAAAGGAGAGAGCCCTGTGGCCGCCATACGCCAGCTACACGGGCTGTTGGCGAGATATGGCACAAAACAAGGCATACACCTTTTTCAAGTGCAGCTTATCATGTTATGAATGAACTTGCAGAGTGCGCAGTAAAACGAATAACGAGAATACTTGAACTACAGAATGACGATACAATGAGAAGGCACGCCTAAATAGGGTAAAAGCTGGCTAGGCGAAGAGGTAGGGCGAAGATGGTTCGGTGATGGTTGCGATTGGAGCGGAGGCCGTAGTGCCATAACTACGGCCATGCCTTCATTCCTGTTTCTTCACATCTGCAACTTGTAAAGGCATCGTGCTTCATTTCATATGGGCATCGTGCTTCTCGTGCTTCATTTCATATGGGTGTGAGTACATCAATCTCATCCAATGATAACTACGATTACAGCAAGAAACTTGGAGACAATTACTACAGGGGTGGATGGGTGGGAAACTCAAACTTCGAAATTGAAAAGAAGAACGTGGGTGAGGCTGAATGGCCTCAATCCCCTCTTTTGTAGCCAAAAGATAGCGAGTAGCGATGCGACACTGCCTTTGCTGCGTTGGCAATCGCTACGCTTTCACAATACACAAATTTTTAAAAGTGTTACACACTTTCAAAATTTTACATATTTGCAACATTTGCATCGAGATTAAACACAAGCTAGTGAGAAAAGAAGAACGAGAATGGATTGACTAAGGAATGGAAGTGATACAAATGTGCAACCCTAGAATTGTATACCCCATATAGGCTACCCCACTACAGCCTACACAACATTATAATTTGACACACCCCCATAGGCAAAGTGGGGGAGAACAAGGGGTCACAAGACCAGTCAAGCAGAGCAAAGCAAAGCTCAGGGTGGATCACAAAGTCACCACACATTCTGAGCACAAGTTCAAGGCCAGAAGGCCAGTTTACATGCAGGAGCACATATATATATATAAGAGACTAAGCAAGCATGAGCAAGAGTATATATATGTGACAGTACAAGCAAAGGTAAGGAAGTGAGCAAGTGAGGCAAGACAGGTACAAGACCAAGCTGAGTACAGAAGCGCTGATGATCACAAGACGCAAGCGCCTTGGTGAAAACATAAGCAGTGTTGGCCTCAGAGGCCACGTACGCAAGCCGCAACTGACCACGCTGCTGTAGCTCACGAGCAAGGAAGTAGCGAAGAGCAATGTGCTTTGTTCTGTGCTCCAGTCGCTGCTCTCGACACAAGGCCAGCATGGCCTTGTTGTCTACGTACAGGACTGGAGGAGAACGAGGTGGCTCTCCAAGGTCGGTCAGAAGGTAGGTGAGCCAGCGAAGCTCCTGGGCAGCCATGGCCCCGGCGTAGATCTCAGCCTCACAACTCGAGCCGAGAACAGACGACGAGCGAGTAGCCCGCCACGAAACAGAGCCGGAACCAAGGCTGAAGGTGTAACCCTGTGACGACCGCTGCGTAGCCTGGTCGTCAGCCCAAGAAGCGTCCGCGTGCCCAGTGAGGACCACTGGACTCCGCCCTCCAAGCACAAGCCCCATGCCCGACGTACTGCACAAGTAGCGCAACACCCTCTTCGCTGCAGCCATGTGCTCTGGTCGGTGTCTCCCAGGAGCAACATAGCGTGCAAGAATGCTAAGAGGGTATGCAAGGTCAGGTCGTGTGCAGGTCATCAGGTATATGAGGCAGCCAACAAGCTCTGGATACGGGCCACTCGACTCTACGGACTCATCCGAAGGCAGAGCTGAGAGTGAGTGACGAGTAGGCAGAGGAGTGGCCTGAGGCGAGGAGTACGTGAAGCCGAAGCGCTGAAGGACCTACTGCACCATGTGTGACTGAGTCAGAGTAATGGTGCGGCGTGCTCTGTCCCGGGTGATCTGCAAGCCAAGGTAGCTGCGCAGTTCACCCAGGTCAGTGCACGTGTGTCTCTTCTGCAGCTCGGACTTCACGTAGGCGAGTCCAGTAGTGTCAGCTGTGGCAAAGACCAAGTCGTCGACGTACACGAGGATGTAGAACGGCGGCAGAGAGGTGTCGGTGCGCAGAAACAGCGACGGGTCGGCAGTAGAAGGAGCGAACCCAGGAGCCGCAAGCGTAGTCCTCAGTGTGTCGTGCCACTCACGTGGCGCGTGGCGGAGACCGTAGACTGGACGCCGGAGACTCCACTGGGTACCAGGAGGGAAAGACCCAGTGAAGCCAGGTGGGCGGCGCAGCCAGATCTCCTCGTGCAGGCTGCCCTGCAAGAAAGCAGTGCTGAAGTCGAGAGAGTGCAGCTCGTACTCACGGTGAGCAGCAACGTGCAGCAGTACCCGAAGAGTGGTCATCTTCGGGGTGGGGGAGAAGGTCTGAAAGTAGTCAACTCCCTGCCGCTGACTGAAGCCACGAGCCACGTAACGCGCCTTGAAGACAGGCGGAGAACCCGGCGGCCGCTTCACCCTGAAGATCCACATGCCACTGACGATGTTCGCCCCAGGAGGGGGGACAGCGTCAACGTAGGTGCCTGTGGACTTCCAGGAAGCCATCTCTGCATCCATAGCTGCCTGCCACTGAGAGGAGTAGGGACCCTCTATCGCCTCCGCGTAAGAGCGCGGAGTCGGGATGTCAAGTGCATCCGGGTCTCCCTCAAGGGTAAGCAGTACGGACACAAGATGAGGTGAAGCAGCTGCCAGACACTGGAACTCCTCCTGCCTGTCCTCAAGGACGTCCGTGCCAAGGGCACACTCACCCCCGACGGACGGAGGACAGACAGACGCAGACTCAGCGACAAGACTGACAGCGTACTCTAGGCGACAGCGAGCAGCAAAGTCGACGAGCTCAGCAACGAGGGCAGACGCAGCAGTAGACTCGAAAGAAGGGTCAGTGATGACAGTAGCAAGGAGACACGTGACAATAGGACTGGCAGCACGAAGAGAGTCCGACTCCGGGTCAGCAAGAGCAGGAAGAGAAGATTCAGAAAGGAGAAGGCAAAGGGGCACGCAGAGGAGCAGTGGACGGATGCAGAGACATCCGGTGCGTGCCAGGGACAAGAGGAGGACGCTGACGCGAATCGCGACCACTAGTGCGAGCAGCACGAACAGGCGACGCAGGACGAGACGCAGGCTCACGACGCTCAGTAAGACCTCCAGTAGGACCAGCGTAGGGAGAAGGAGCAGGCAAAGGGGAGGCAGGCTGTAGCTGTGACTGTGACGGGACAGGCTGTGGACCCTCTAAGGGAGGAGGAGGACCAGTAGAAGGTGGAAGACCAAGAACCTGCTGCAGGAGTGGAACGAAGTACGGTCGAGGCCGCGTGGCGATGCCAGAAACAGCAGGGACAGCACCAGTACCCCCAGTAGGAGCACCCGCTCCAGCAGCACCTCCAGCAGCTCCAGAACCTCCAGCAGCACCAAGAGCACCCCCAGTAGGACCGCTAGTGGTAGTCTCAGCGCCAACACCCTCAGCAGCACCAGCTCCAGTCGAACCTGCAGGCCCAGCAGCTCCAGTACTCCCAGTACGAGCACCTCCGGGACCCGCGACAGCAGCACCCTCAGTAGCCGAAGAACCTCCAGCACCAGCATCACGGCTCTAGCGCCGGGCAAACCACTCGCGCAGCTCCTGTGGAGAGAGTGGCTCCCGGCGAGACGAAGCACCCGGAGAACCTCCAGGCGAAGCACCTCCAGGCTCAGCACCCCCAGGCAAATCACCCCGAGGCGTAGTACCCCCAGACTCAGCACCCCCAGGCTCAGCACCCCCAGGCTCAGCACCCCTAGGCTCCGCACCCCCAGGCTCAGCACCCCCAGGCTCAGCACCCCCAGTCTCAGCACCCCTAGGCTCAGCACCCTCAGCAGCACCAGAGTCACCAGTGACCTCGACAGGCTCGACTGCGTCTACCTGGGACACACCTGAAGGGGCAGGACCCTGAGGGGGGAGGGGGTCTACCGGGGGGGGACCTGGTACAAGGAAGAGCTGGGGCGGGGGGAGGGAAGGAGTGCGGTAGGGGAAGAGGCGGTAGTAGGGGACCGACTCGTCGAACGTGACATCCTAGGAGGACAGAACACGGCGAGAGGTGGGGTGGTAGAACTGCCACCCAGGGGCGTCGGGGGGGAACCCCAGGAAGACGCAAGGAGTAGCGCGAGGGGACAGCTTGTCCGCAGACAAGTCGCGGACAAACGCCCGAGATCCCCGGACCCGGAACGCCGACGCATCGCCAACCTTCCCCGTCCACAGCAGGGCTGGGGAGGTCTCTGGCCTGGAGACCCTGGGGTGAAGGTTGATCTGATGCGCCGCGTACCTGACCGCAAACGGCCACAGAAAATGGGGGGCAGCCGCATGCATCATAGACGTACGAGCAACGTCCATGACCATGCCAATGCGGCGCTCAGCAATCCCATTTTGCTGCGGTGAGTCCGGAAGCGTGAAGGTCTGACGGATGCCTCGTGCACGACAGTAGGCTCGCAGAAGGCCAGAGGAGAACTCTCCGCCTCTGTCCGAGTGCAGAAGCAGAACA